AGTCTAGTTTGCTCTGCAGGGTTCTTGGTTTAGTCCCTTGCTCAAAGTCTCTTGCCTGCGACTGGCTGGACTCTCCTTGTGCCGAGCCATCACTTCTGGGGATCGCCTCTTCTCCGCCAGCCTCGCTCGAGCCTCTTTCGGCGACCGCCCCGGCCCTTGAGCGGGTCGTGGCTGCTCTGTCAAGAGGCCGCTTTAATTTCTAGCTTCTCGCAAAACCCCCCGTGTTTGTTGGGGGAAGCTTTTTCCCCTCGAGTCCTAATTCGCGCTTGTTCATGGGTATTGTGGCCGGTTATCTGTGTACCACCTGTCACTATTGCGAAATCCTACTATACCTAATACTAATTATTGTCCAACGTTATACGAATTGGCCTGTACTAAACGGAAACATTTCTGGCAAAAAAAACGGCAATGCCGCAAACTCAGCGGGCCGTCTAAAGGGCCTGAGCAGGTAGCCGCCCCGGCGAAATAAGGGTACGGTTGCGCTTGACTATTGTTCAATGGAATGTTTCTACTTACATTTGATGGTTCAATTGCTCGTAATCCCTGGTCTGTACGTTGTAGGAACACTTTGCAAACATCACTGCACTCCACGTTTCTTGCTCTATCCGCACATGGCACAGCACTTTCGTCTCTATGGTCGTTATTTGCGGACCGCACAAAAAGTCGACCGATCGCTATGGCTGCTCGGCGCGGAATGGATAAGTACCCCAGGATAAGTATTCATTTACTAAATGATTATTATTATTATTGATGTTGATGGTAATATTGTTATGATTTCATCAGATCTTAGGGCACAAAAGGAACAAGTTGCCGTCTCAGAATACTTGCATGAACTGCACCTTTATTGAAGTTAAAAACAATACTACCAACCTAAGAAAACTAAAGTAAAAGGTACCATAACAGTTCTGGAACTTACTTCTAACACCCCCACTAGTTCAAAAATGTTATGTTTCCAGCAATTCGCACTTGTCAATCAAACCCAAAGCTCTTGAAAACTTTGCGCGCTTGTTTGAACCCAAAGCTTTTGTAAGCAAATCAGCAGGCATTTCTTCAGTCTTTCAGTATTTTATGTTGATAAACCAGTTCGCTACTGTTTCTCTTACAAAGTGATGGCGTACATCAATGTGCTTAGTGAGTAGTTATGGAATATCGGATTCAAAGTAAGCTTTAACGCACTTTGACTGTCAGTAAAAATTGCAACACAATCAAAAATCCCTATTACTTCACCAATCAAATTCCTAAGATAAATTGCCTCTTTAGAAGCTTCGGACAAAGCCATATACTCTGCTTCTGTGGAGGAAAGTGCAACGGTTTTTTGCTTAACATTTTCCCATGAAATTAGTGAATCTGAAAAAGTAAAGCAGAAACCAGTATATGACTTTCTGTCTACCAAACCATTACCCCAATCTGCATCGACAAAACATTATAGCCGATTTGAAGATTTATTAAATTTCAAACAATAGTTTTTCGTCTTCTTTAAATACCTCAAAACCCCCTTCAGAGATTCCCAGTGACAATTTTCAAAACATGTGTTAAATTGACTTAAGTAGCTAATACTGTATGATATATCCGGCCTGGTCATAACTGAAAGGTACATTAAACTACCTATTAACTGCTGATATGGAATAACTAAATTAGAATTTGAACCCTTTTCCAAATTTAAATTTTTTTCTATTGGTGTGTTTGCACACTTACAATCATACATTTGAAATTTATGCAGCAGTTCGGCAATGTACTGCTGTTGAGCTAATGTTATGCCATTCTTGGCTTTATCTATACACAAATTCATTCCCAAAACATGCTTAGCCTCGACGAGGTACTTTAATTTAAAATTTGTTGCCAATTCCTGCTTCAAACAGTCCGTTTCCGTTAAGTTGTTAGAAAAAATAAAAAAGTCATCAACATACAGAGCAATAATAGTTATTGAATCTTTATTATGCTCGCGATTACTTTTAATGAATACACAAGGTTCAAAATTAGACTTCTTATAACTCAAATTGAATAGAACATCCTCTCTCTCTTGTACCAAACACGAGCAGACTGTTTGAGGCCATACATTGCACGATTTAATTTCAACACCTTATGCTCCTCACCAGGTTTTATAAAGCCCTCAGGTTGTCTCATGAAATCAGTTTCACTCAACTTACCATGCAAAAAGGCTGTAACTACATCTAAGTGACAAATATTTAGATCTAAATTTACACTTAATGCAAACAACAATCGCAAGGAAGAATCTCTCACAACAGGTGAGAACGTTTCACTGAAATCTATAGCTTCTTGTTGAGTATAGCCCTTTGCAACTAGCCTAGCACGATACGTCTTGTTATTAGCACTATCACATTTGGTTTTAAAAACCCACTTGCAACCTACCACTGAACTTCCAGAAGGTAACTCGGCCAAGTCCCAAGACTGATTCTCCACCAAACTTTTGATCTCCTCCTCCATAGCCTGCTGCCATTTCATTCCATCATGCCTTGAAAGAGCTTCTGCTACGGATACGGGTTATACCGGAAAAACCTTTCTGTCTGCTTCTGCCATATAAGTGACAAAATCATTGTCGACTTTTGGTTTTCTTTGCCTCTGATCTTCTTAACTCAGAAGTCTCTTCTTTGACTTCAGTCAACATATCAGGTTGATAATCACTGTCACTTGAATCATCAATATAGGCTTTTTCGGTGACTGTTTATCCCCCACTGAAAGTGGTTTTTCTTCAGGTTCTGCCTTCGGTTCAGCTTCAACTAAGCGACCAGGTGCCCATTTCTCGAGCTCGAGAGAACGTGAAAGATCCCATCGCCGATGTGATCATTCCCTTCCCCGCCCTTTCTACTATGGTTCGAAAACCGTATTCTCGAATGCATAGGAAGCGATGTGAGAAGCGTTCACGGAAAGCGTTGTTGCCAACAACTTTATCAGAGAAATTCGACTCAAATTTACGATTAAGAGACAAAGATTTATCTAACGGCCAGAAAATTGGCGGGGGTTTCAAATAAAATATTAAAAATGTTATACCAGCTCAAGCTTAAAGCTGTTATACCAGCTAAATAGATATAATATATAAATATGACGTAAATAAATCAGCGTAAACTTGTAAAATTTTATTGAAGACCGTTTGAATGAGCACCTCCCGCG